TTTAACTTGGAAAATATGGAATAATGGGACTTCAACAGCACATATTCACAACACAGGTTTAACAAATTTAAGCAAGAGTAGCTTCTATATATACCCTATATTATGCAGCAAGGCAAATATAAATATTTAAAGAATAGTTTTTAAGAGGAAAAAGAATTGACTAAAGGACTTAGAAGAGAAATACAGGAACATTTTAAATGTTTATAACATTGTATATTGTAGGAGTATAACAAAGGGGAAGTTAGAAACTAAATATTTATTTATAATGTTTTTAGAAGCCTTTCTTTTTTCTTTGTATCTTTGAATACAAAATAGTGGAGATTTGGGCACTCAGATATTTTCTCCTATTGTTAAATAATTCAATTTACTTCGTTCTTTGTGGTTAATTTCCTTATCATTTGAGCACTGACTGTACAACCTTCATAACTCCTTGGTCCACTTACTGATATATTTCGGCATTAATTATTTTTATCTCCTTTGTTTTTTCTTTTATTTATTCATTCTCTATTTTTAAAAAAATGATTAATATGTTTAAAAAGGCAAACCTTCATAATTGTACAACCTTCATAACTCCTTGGTCCACTTACTGATATATTTCTGCATTAATTGTTTTTATCTCCTTTGTTTTTTCTTTTTATTTATTCATTCTCTATTTTTTTAAAAAATGATTAATATGTTTAAAAAGGCAAAGGCCTGTTTTACTTTAAGTATGACAATGTAGTATCAACATAAATTATAGAACTGCCCAGATCATGTCATGCGTCAGTTTACAAATTAATTTTAAAAGAAAAAATCCAAACAAAAATACCATATTCCAGACAAACCACAGGATGATATGGGCCTGGGACAATGGAAAATTGTCTGCCTTAATCTCTTTAAAAAACTAGAGTGGTTTCAGATTATTATCAGATCACAAGAAAATTCTAACAGAGAAAGATATATCATCCTGAACACAGCCTGAAGGATGACGAAAGGCTGAAATTATACCCAATTCTCCAAATTTTACAGAGTATAAAGCATCACACAGAAGAAAGAAAAACCCTAAAGCAAATTCCTGACTATACAATTTATCATTTGTTTGTGACTTTCCAGTCAGTCCTGTCTTCTGGTGTCTGCCTTGATTAACCCCTGAGGTTTTCTGAGCAAGATTTGTGAAATGTTTTTTCCTTGCCTTCTTCCAATGGTTGAGAGAGAAGGATTGGCCTAAGGTCATCCAGGTAACTTCATGATGAAGGCAGGAACAAAACTTCCAATCTCCCGTTTTTCCACCTGGTGCCTTCAACCAGTATAGGTAGTCCTTGACTTACGACCACAATTGAGCCCAAAATTTCTATTGTTAAGTGATACATTTGTTGAGTGACTTTTGCCCCATTTTACGACCTTTCTTGCCGAAGCAAGAAAGTGATTTTCTTTAAGTGAATCACTACAGTTGTTAAGTTAGTAACACAGTTGTTAAGTGAATCTGGCTTCCCCAATGACTTTGCTTATCAGAAGATTACAAAAAGTGATCACATGACCCCAGGACACCGCAACCATCATAAATATGAGTCAATTGCCAAGTATCTAAATTTTGATCACATGATCATGGGAATGCTACAACGGTCATGCGACAAATGGCCATAAGTTACTTTTTCCAGTAACATTGTAACTTCGAACTTTCACAAAATGAGCTGTTTTAAGTCTAGAAGTTCCTGTATAACAAACTGGCTCTTAACCAGTGGTGGGCTGCAAATTTTTAAATAACTGGTTCTTTGCCTTAATGACTGGCTGAGTGGGTGTGGCTGGGTGGTCATGTGACTGGGTAGGTGTGGCCAACTCACCGTCACTCATGGCAAGGTGTGGTGGCGCAGGCTGGCCGATGTTGCAGAGACAGGCTGATTTTCTATGTACCATTCTGAGCCCCTTCCCTCCCCCTTCTTGGGCTGACAAAATAAAAGCCTTTCTAAAGATTGCGACTGCCTGCCGAGCCTGCCTGGCGCTTGCTGGCAAAAGGAGGTTCTTGCACAGAAAAAAAAAGAGGTGGCGGCTGCAGGCTTCTTGAGGGGGGGGACATGATGAGGCGAGGCTGCCTTTCGGGTCCTGCTCTGGGCTTCTGCCTGCTCAACCTCTGCTTTGCCTTGAGTTCCGCATCCAGCCCACAACAAGGGGGGCAAGATGCGGGCTGGCGGGGAGCCGAACAGCGACTGCTCAGCCCTGGCTTGCCTTCCCCTCTGCCACCAGCCGTGGAAGGAAGGCAAGGTTGTGGGACGAAGAAAGAGACAGTCATGGGGGAAGAAGCGGGGAGATTGAGTAAGGGCCAAGGCCTCTGAAAGAGAGGAAACAGGTTGACCCAAGGCGAACAGAGAGCAGGTGGCATACGGGAGGAGGCCCCGGGAAAAGCCAGAGCCAGGGACTGGCATGTCCCCCAACTGAGATAAATAGAGAGCAGGCGGCACGCAGAGGAGGCCAGGGAAAGGCCAGAACCAGGGACTGGCGTGTCCTCCGACCCAAGGCGAATGGAGAGAGGGTGGCATGCAGGCGGAAGGATGGTGAGAGCCAGGCCCGAAAGGCAGCAGAGCCTTGCCATTTCCACTCTGAATGGCCCTTCGGCTGAGCGCCTTATCTTCGTGGACAGCTGCTGTGAGCAGAACGGGCATGGTGCGGATATCAGCTGGGCCACGTGGCTGGCATGGTAGGCCGCAGCGAAGGCAGGCAAGCAGACGAAGCGTGCAGATCAGCTGGACCACGTAGTCTGGGTGAGCGAGTGAAGGAGCCAGAGAGTAGCTGGGAACGGGCATGACTCAAGCCACCAGCCAAGGTGGATGCAGTGAGATAGGGTGGGGCGGGGTAGGAGGGGCCATCCAGTAGTGGCATTTGCCGGTTTGGCGAACTGTGCATAATCTTAACTACCAGTTTGCCTGAATCGATGCGAACCAGCAGCAGCCCACTCTGCTCTTATCTAAGTATGTGTATAAAACGATGGAAGTTTATTTGTTTACTTTCCTACGTTTCGCCAGCTGCATCTTTATGGAAGGTAAAATAGATTGGTCTGAAGAAAGTAGTGCTACACTGTGAAAGTAATACTATATTGTGAGGCAAGCCCTGTCCCCTTTGTAGGTACATTATGATGTCACATGCACATCCCAAAGGGAAAGATCTTGCAACATAATGCTGCTTTCACCATTCCAGAATGAGACTGCAGAAACCCATTTCCCAAACTTTAATTAGAGGCTGATAGGAACATGAAAATCCTTTTCCAGCCTTAGTTCATGAATGACATTGGAGTTCTGCCCACAAAAGGTAAATCAGAGAGACAGAGATTCTTTCTAGGAATGGCAGAGGTTGGAGAAACTACCTGAATCGCAAAGCCATCTCTCATTAATAGAGGTGTGCAGTGTTCATCTAAGTGTGCAGGCTGGCACCCAGATGGATTTCAAGCATAGGTTGGATGTATTTGGTATCTACTGCATATATTTTGCTGTTGGGATTTCTGGATTTCTGTCTTGTTTATTTCTTGTACTGTCTTTTTCTTTACCTTGTTGAGTTTTAGCTTGTTCTCTTTATATTGCAAACCGCCCAGAGTTGGTTTGGAGTGAGATAGCACTGAAGTGGACTTAGTCAATCAGCCAATAAATTCACAACAGCAGCAGCCTAAAGAAAAAAGGATGCATTTTCCAGTTTAAAGACAGAACCTACGGTCACCCTTCCTTTCTTTAATCGGTTTGCCAAGAGAGGGAGGAGGATCACAATGTCACCTTGCTGCATTCCCAGAGTAGTAGCAACATTTGACCTTTGAGCACCAATTTCCTTAATGTAAGAATAAGGGATAATTATTTGTTGGTTTCAGGAGGTCTCTAACACTAAGTTTATAAACTGAATTTATGAACTAAGTTACTATACTGTATGTCCAAGTGAGATTTGTGCCAAATATTCTAATATTTCCATTAGGAAATGTTAACTATAGACATGATAGTAACTGGATTGTTCCTCTGGGACAGTTTTTAAAAAATGTTATCCGAGGACCCCTGGGGCTCCCTCAAGACCATCTAAAGTCCAGGAAATCAGAAATATTTGCCTGATATTAGATACTTGGAAAGATATTTAAAGATAAAACAGTCACTCTTCTCATGTTTTGTTACACACACACACACACACACACACACACACACACACACACACACACACACGTTAATACCTAATAGGTTTTAATATTGATATTTTTACATGATAAAATATTCCATGAATGCATATTAACTTTTAATATGGTAAATATGATAAATATAACCCATACAAGCCAAAGTTCTTTTGGGATCCTCCATCATTTTTAAAAGTGGGGAGGGTCCCAGACTCTAGGACATTTGGGAAGTCATTGAAGGACATCGCATCCCCACCTAGTTGATGGAACCATCTCTCCTGACCTTCTGAAAGTCCCTTCAAACCTGGTCCTGACAACAGGCTTGGGGAATCTCGCAAGGGAGCCATAATTTGATTAGACGGCTTCATTGTTTGTAATTGGATGCTGTCTCTTAGCCTTCTAAAATATTATTTTTGGTCCTTTTTGAATATTTCTAAAATTGTTTTGTTGTTTTGCGCCGCCGCCCGGAGCCATGCCAATGTGCGATGTGTGGCCATATAAAATACGATCAAGCCATCAATTTATGAGCTGCTTTTTTCTGGTGAATTGTAATTGGAGCAACCTTCTTCCATTTTGCCCCCTCTCCACGCTCTATCCCTAGCAATCCGGCCTAGCTGTGCTACAATGGTAATTGAGGCAAATCTGGAGTCCCTGGGATTAGCCCACGGCTTCCTCTTTCCCGAAAAAAAATCCCTCCTAGAAGAACCGGAAAGAAAGAAAGAAAGAGGTGGAAATCTTTCGGCAACCCCTTCGGGCTGAGCTGAAGCCAGGTGAGGAAAGACAGACACGCGAAAGCTCGCTCTCTTTCCAGCGAAGTCTGCCAGGGTCGGGCTGAGGTGAGGCCCAGCGAGGACCCGGAGCGGGGGCGGAGCGCTTCAAAAAGGGGCTGCGGGCAGAAGAGAGCAAAGAAGGGCAGCGCCAGGAGCACCGGGGGCCGGCAAGAAAGCGGAGGCGACAGGAAAGCGGGAGAGCGGCACAGACAGAAGCGCGTCGGGGAAAGGGCGAGTGAGCGTCTGCCTCCGTTTGCTCCTCCGGACCATGGGCGCCTTCGTCTTCGGCGCAAGCTGGCTGGGTTTTCTCCTGTTGCTGCTCCTGCTGCTTCTGCTGCTGGTGGCCTCGCTCAGCGGGAGGACTAGGTGAGTGTCTGGCGGGATCCATCCCGCGGGCGTCCAGGGTCGGGACAGGTGGGATCTTGGACCCGCTACCACACCATAGCCCAGAAACAAGTTTGGGAGATCGGCATTGAATGTGGCTTCCGTCCCTGACAGGTGAGATCGGTGCGATGGTTAGAGATCTTACAGGTGAATCATAATCATAATAATAACCTTTATTATCACTGCACAACGTATGTCCAACGAGATTGGTGAATCACTTTACGGTGCTTGGAATGGGTAGGAAGTGTAATAGAAGGCAAGAGCTTTTCGGGAAGGGAGTAATTTGATGGAGGGAATAATTTGAATTACGAGGTGGAGAAACAGGATCGGGTAAGTTTTTCTCCTTCATCAGACTGGAAAACAAGCTTATCTAACCTGACTGATGGGAAAGTCAATGCTAGGAAAGGAAGTACAATACTTTATCCTATCATTAATTGCATGGTTATACTTTACCCCATCACTAATTGCATGGTTAATCAATGGAGTTAGAACAGCATTGAGGTGGCTTCAGTTGATCTCAAAATAACTAAGCCTGAGCCTGGTTAGTAATTGGATGGAAAATCACTCGGAAATACCAGGGTTTTTGGCACAGGTAGGAAATCTCAAAAACATCCTCCATGAAGCAGTGGTAAGCTAGCCTTGAAGGCTGCCTGCCCTTTTTACACATAGAATCTTGTTTAACTGTAGTTTATAGAATAAATCACAATTGGATAGATTCATACAAACGTTAAAACCATTACGTCGTGAGTTAAACTATTATGTCATGAGTTTTTAACTCATGACATAATAGTTTAGCATTTGTGTCAACCCAGCTAATAAAAGAGAGGGCTTTTTAATAAGAATATTAGATGATTTTTAAAAAAATCATATTGATTTTGATTGCATTGTTTCCGGGAACAGAATCTTAAGCCCATCTGCTTTAAATAGGAGGTAAAGGGTGTGACTATATAGAAGGGAGCTTTTATGCTTGACAGATTGCTGGGACTTCCCAGGATGGTGTAGATAAACCTTTTGGGATGATTCGTTATGCAACTTCTTTTGTTCACATAGCATGTGCCCGATACGCAGCTCTTAAATCTCACCTGGTATGTGTGGGTGTTGAGAAGAGAGTTATAGATTATCTAACTACAAGATGTTCTATTTTATGCTGGAGTCCCCAAGTCTGCCCACAGTATTTTCCTTGGCACCAATCAGAGTTTCTACATTTCTTGATTGGTGGAAGTGGTATTATAGTACTGTTGTTCCAATACAAAAATTTTCCAGACTGGAAAATCTAGTGCCAACTTGTGATGCCAGTTTTATGTCTAAGGACGTCTGTGGTTCTTGAGTGAGCAATAGACACACATTGTCATATGAAAATGCCACTCACAACTTATTTTGAAAAGTGTGGTTTGTACAATTTTAGAAGATTTAATTTAAGCCAGGTAAGCCATGTCTGCTATATTAGTATAGCATGTTAAGCTTGTTTGGTATTAACCATGGGCAGGAATTTGTGCTTTATGCAAGCTAAATTCATTTGGTGAGTTTAGAATACAGTATATTGTGTGAACCCAAAAACGGTTAATTCAAAAGCATCTACAGCTGGTACAGAATACAGTTGCATGGGCAGTTAAGTCTGCTCTTCAATCAGTGCAGGCTCTATGAGCTGCTGGTTTTAAACTGTGAAGCCCTTTATGGTATGGGGCTGGGGTTTTGAAGGGCCATCTCTTCCCCATTATACTGTATCTACCTGTCCCATTGGATCCAACAGAAGAGGCATATTCCAGAGTCATGAACTTGATATGGGTAGCTATATAAATTGAGATATTAACAATAAATAAACAACATTAAGAAAGTTGTGCAAACATAGCCAATCTGCACAATCAAAAACAGATAAAATTAGAGTGTGTGAGGAGAGCAGCTAAAAGGAGATGTGCTAGAAGGATGCTATGGAACAGAACAATTGTCTCCTCCCCCCCTCCCCCGACGTGGACTGTTTTTGCCTTAGCTAATACACTATGTTTGTTTCTGTATGGAATGTATTTTCCATAATAGTCCAGACTTAGAATTCATATGAATATTGCAATGGTAAATATTTCATCTGTTTTTCTTTCTGAGCATCATCCCTTTGCTTTTGGCAAATGGAGTATTTTGAAATTTTTTTGTAAGATTGACTAGTTTGCATCCTAGACATTGGGAAAAAAATGAGCAAACATGTTTAACATGACATTTGGCTTGTGGTTCGTTCATTGGCAAATTATTTTTCATTAAAACTAATTGGCATCCCATCATTTGTAAGGCATTCTGACCCCACATCCCCAACCTCCTCACAATGCCATTTCATGGATATTTATTTATTATTTATTTGTTTGTTTGTTTGTTTGTATCTTGCCTTTATTGTTTTTACAAATAACTTAAGGCAATGAACATATCCAACACATCTTCCTACTCCTATTTTCCCCACAACAGCAATTCTGTGAGGTAGGTTGGGCTGAGAGAGAGTGGCTGGTTCAAAGTTACCCAGCTGGCTAAGGCGGGACCTGAACTCACAATCGCCTACTTTTTAAGCATGGTGTCTTAACCACTAGACCAAACTGGCTCTATTGCTCATCTTGTTGGTTTGTAGCAAGAATTTTTTCCAGTTTAGATTGATCTCAGATTTACACTTTTGACCTGGATAAAGTGTACTTCTGAACAATATTTTCTTCCATTTAACATATAGATACAGTTTTCATATGCTTGTACTTACAGTGTATACGAAAATGTCTAATTGGAACTGAAGAATTGAAAACTCCTTTCCTTCAACTTAGTCCTTGAAAGCAAGAAATTAGGCAGTGTCCCTTTACTGAAGGGAGTGCTGATCTTTTCAAAACTAGGTGTATATTATGTGTATACATGTGCGTGTGTATACATACAAAAATTAAGCAATATTGGTGGAATCTGACAGCAACATCTGGAAGCCCATATGGCATTCCGTATCATAAAAAGTTTATTTCTCCATATTATTAATTTTATTAATGTTTTGAAACTATAATCCCCTCTACTGTAGGAGTGGCTTCACTCATTCTTTTAAGTGCCATTGTGGTTCGTTGGGTTTTAGGTCTAGCATATGTGAAATTCACCATGGGTTAAAATCATGCCTTAGTGCAGTGTACAAATCATACCAATGTGTATTAGAGGCTGTTTAAAAGTAAGCCATAAAAATAATATAGGAAAAGAAATTAGCCCAAATAAAACGGGGGGAAAAAAGGTTATAATAAAGCAAAGGAACTTTCTAAAATAGTTAATCACTATAACCATAACAGAACAGTTTTACCAGGTGCTCAAAAGACCTTTTAAGAAAATTAATTGCATCTATAAAGGAATTCTGTTACAATAACAGAAAATTTTACATCATCAAAACTCTTGGCTATTTCTGTTACAACAGGATAATATATTTGTACCTCTTGACAGCTATTTTGATAAAAAAATGTATGCACTGATATGTGTAAGTCTTTCCAAACCAATGCTGGAAATTCCAATGTATGGAAAGTAATTTTATATAGAGACTCCAGGTTCTGTCAGTCTGCTTGCCTGCATGATAAGTCTCTGGAAACTGAGCAGAATGGGTCCTCATTCAATCTGTGTAAGACCATCTCTCAAAAGAAAAGCCAAGTTAAAAAACAGATGGACTCCGGCTAGGATCTGGTTAGGGGGGAAAAAAAGTCAGCCAGTATACCCCAAACACTGCCAATTCCTCCATTCTAAGCTGTCCTCCCTCCTGGTCGTATGATCCAGAGCAAAGAATATTTATCTCGTAGACCCCTACACACAAACACAGACAAAAGACAAAAGGAGAGCAGAAGCATGCACACAACACAAGCACCCACAAAAATGTGACATATTATTTCATCGAAGTAGCAAGTTCACACAGATGCTTCTTTATGACCAAAGAGTTGAGAACAAACCCAAAAGTTGTGCTTTTCAATCTTGACAACTTTAAGATATATGTACTTCAACTCCTTAGAATTTCCCAGCCAGCATGGGGAATTGCTAAGGTTGAGAAACACTGCTCTGTACGTTTTTCCTACTTGTATTTTAATTGATGCATTTAGGCCAGAGATGAACAATTTGCAGCTGCAGTGTAGCAACCCCCATTTCTGAGTTCTTAGAGTCACAACTGCTAACAATTTGTATGATTGCTTCCCAAAAAAATAAAGTAAAAACCCTAAAATAGACAAAATATTTGGAAAAGGAACCTTTCCAAACGCCATCCAAAAATCTAGAGAACCACACTTCCTAATCATAATATAATGAGTATTTACAACAGAGCACCTATGGTTTGTACCCATCGGACAGCAAACATCCCAGATGGGAAGAGGTCTCAAGTAGTGAATTAGCCTGGTCTCACCACATAAGCACCAGAGGACAAAGTCTGACAACAATAACCCCCCCCCCATACCTTTGAGCCTTATATAGTCTAGACACGACCTGATCTTTTGTTTTATATCTCCGTCTCTGCAGTTTGTTAGATAATCTGACCACCAAAATGCTCTCATCAAACTCTTTGAGTTTTTCACAATCTTGGCAAGCCTTTGTTAAATTAAGAATGGCTGCGTTCAACAAGAATTACTCATAGGTAAAAATTATAACAGATGGGTTGTATAACTCTTAATCTCTGGGATTGTATTCTTTGCTCTTACTACAGTATGTCATTGTTTCAGGTCTGTTGGTTATTTTGCCCTAACATATCTAAAATTACTCAAGACATGCATGTTTCTTTTTTAAAAAGGCCAGCAATTGTATGTGCATAAATGGATGGTTTAATGCTGTGATGCCATTTTTTAAACTTACATTTTGTATGTTCCAATGTTAGAGCTATCATTTATAAAGAGAAAATAAACTGAGAAAATGTCCCTTTAAGTTTTTAAAAATTCTATCATATTTCAAATTAAAAGTAACAAGTTATCTCTGTATACTGAGTGACATTAAGCGCTACCCAAGTCTTTAGAAATGTGGGTGGA